GAGAGAGAGAGAGAGAGAGAGAGAGAGAGAGAGAGAGAGAGAGATGTATCTCAAAAAACACACAAGGATGCCAAAAGGTGTAGTTGGTTCAGACAAGAGATTAAAGATACCTGATGCCTGTACTTTCACATAAAGAAATTGTGCAATGTTATTTCGAAAGCTGTAAAATAAATATTTCATTGGAACACATTAAAGAATTAGGTAGTTAAAGTTTTTGGGAAACACCCAGCATTCATTAATATTAATAGAGTTTTAATCCAGTATTCTCTCTCTCTTTATCTGTATATGTGTATATAATGTATATAAACATATATATCCCCATATGTAATATTTGAAAAACAAAGGTATTTTAGGATTTCAAAAGTCTTTTATGAAAGACTAAGATTATTTCTAACAGAGTCAATAGGACAAAAGTTTTGCTTCATCAGAAAAAAACATCTGTAGACTTAGCTCCTCTGAACTCAGACATATGTTACCAGATCACACGTTTATCTAACCTCAAGAGCTCCTCAGTACTATTAATTATCTGGCTAGAAAGCGCCATGCAGCTGAATGGGGGTGGAGAGGGCTGTGTACGAGAAGACCACAGAACCACCAAGTGGAATGTATGTTTGTCTAGGCATGCTTATTATAGGAGCTCAAAGAGCCCAGACAAGTTTACCTATTATGGTTTTTTTAGTATGTGAAAGTTTCACTTTTAATTTTGCTGAGATTTTCACAGTACAGTTAGAACCAGAAATTATTACAAGAAAGTTGAACATAAAACAAACAATGGATTGATTATCATACACCACCACTGGGCAAGTAAATGCACTAATGAAACATAACATATTTGCAGGTGAAATAATAATATGGTGCACATTTTATTAAGAAATCCCAATTATGCCCTCAAAATGGAGGTAAAAGCACCCAAAGAGAAACGGCACAAGTCTGTAAAGGGCCAAACTGTGAAGACTACTTTGCTTTATTTGGGGGCATTGGATGTTTGAACTCTGCAGTGGTCAGAGTCTTCATGGGTGACTGTTATTTTGTTG